AGGGAGGGAGGAAGAGAGGGAGGGAGGGAGGGAGGGAGGAAGAGAGGAAGAGAGGGAGGAAGGGAGGAGAGGAGCTTGGAGCTCTGTAAACGGCTCAGTGCCAAGACAGCACACCGGGCTGCAGGAACCTGGGTTAGTGGGGGGGGGTTATTGTGAGATTGGCATAACTGGAATGCCATAAGCTGCCACAGAGCTTACTCAGAGCTCTATTATGAATTCACTGGCAAGGCTCTGAGATTCAAATAGTTTAATCTCCACAGAAACGCTGCTTCTGCTTCTGCCGTTTCACCGACAAGAACAAACGTGAGTCATCAGGACGGCGGATATATGCGCTAAGAGGTTTCTGCCTTTTTATGGATAAAATGTGTAACAAATAAAAAACATCATTGATGAATGTCCCCCCCCCCCCCCCCCCCCCCCCCCCCACACACACACACACACCACAACCAGAGGATAGTGAAAACTGACGCATAGAGCTCAAAGTGATATTTGCTAATTGTGTTTAACAGACTACAACATGTACATGAAGTTCTATTTGAGAAGCTTAAACCTGCAAATGTTTCTGGTTTATTAAAGACGTTCATTGCAGTAAGCTTGGAGCTCTGTAAACGGTAGGCTATGATTGATGAATGTAATCAGCATCACGAGGCGTCAAAGTTCTCCTGTAATAAGCTAAAATGAATACATTGTTTCTTTGAGTTGTGTTTTTTTTTAGTCATACTCAGCATGACGTCATCGCTGATCTGGAAGCGAAGCCGCGAGGTCATGTGGAGAATAATTACGTTTCCCCGGAATAACGGGCTTGATTGAGCGTTCGGTCGCAGTGTGACGATCCACAACTGGAGGGCACAGTTTACCCGCCTTTTTAATTTACCGCCACACATGAGTGATTATTGCTCGTGGCCTCGCTTGTTCCCCCCCCCTCCCTCCCTCCTCCCCGCGCGACGGGTTCATTTAACCAGGCGCTCTTCAGGAGCGATGGAAAACAAATTGGCCACAGGCGGAGGACCCCCGGCCGCAGCTGAGTTGAACGAGTCATTCGGGCGATAATCTGCAACAAAAGGAAGGCCGAGATGTTGACACGTCCGTGGGGGTGGACCCCCTGATATCTGGGGGCCATAATGGCCTTCTGGGGGAGCGGTGGGCGGGGCCTTCTCCTCCAGACGCGTCTCAATTGATTTCTGGATCCACGCAGCAGACGCTTTAGTCTGAAACGCGTCGATTCACAAAACCTTCAGAGGAAGTCCCTCAAATGAATGTCATCTGGCACATAAAAAATAAAGGAAAACTTAAAATATAAACTTCTTATCTCACTGACAAGAGAAGACTTTTCTATTGATGATCAAATCTAAATAGGTTATTTGGTTGATTTGGTCAGTTACGTCAGAGGAAATGATCTTCAGGTGAGATTTTTAAGACAAGTTCTGCTCACGAAGCAATATTCACATAAGCAACTGTTTGGAGTAGAAGATGAAGATATAATGAAGTGAAGTGCTTCATGCTCCGTCACCACAGACTCATTCACAAGAAGAAACAAGGAGTCCATTACCTGATTCATTTAATGATTGAATGTCATTTTTTTTATGTAAAATCATTGCCTTTTGTTTGTTTCATGTTTCATGAGAGTAAACTGAATATTTTTGGGTTTTGAACTCTTGGTCAGACAAAAATAAAACAATTTGAAGACGTCTCCTTGAGTGTGTTCCATTTTCTGACATTTAATACACCAAATGATTAATAAAGGCAATAATCGACACAAAGCGTTTTTTGCACTTTAAGCACCAAAAAACAAACTCATCTCAAATGAAGAGTCGACTGTCGACCAGCGGTCATGTCGGGTTCAGATCAAGCCGCAGAACTCAAAATGACAAAACATAAATACCTAAAGGAGAGAAATGTGTGTCATTAATATACAACCTTCAGCTCAGTGAAATGTTATTTTACTGTAACGACACATTTAACGCTGCAGCATTCTACCACGACTCACTGCACTCATCGGGTTGTCTGATCTCGTATTACTTTGATAGATTGTAGAAGTCGGCTGCTATCTGAGAACCCTGAGGAATCACTGCCTGCACCGCTGAACCACCAGCTCCTGGGACACCTCGCTGCCTGACCTCTGACCTTCCTGGAGGGGGAAAGAATTTCTCAGTAAAATAGGATATTATCATCACTATAATCATGATAAAATAAGGAGAAGTTGTCAAGATGGGCAACAGAGTAAACGTAAAAGGCAACATAATGTGAGAACATTAGCAGCGTGTTTGGCTCTCTGTTGTTTGGTAGCACCCTCTAGTGGGCAAACACGAGCACTGCAGTGGAGTTATTCCCTTATACTGACGACACAGTGGAAAGATTAAACAAATACAATCAGTTGAATGAATGAATCAAACAGACTTTCTGCAGGAAACAGTAAAAAAGGTTTAATCCAAAGCGGGGGGGTTCGCTAAGGAATCAATGTGCTGTACAAGGGGAACTTATTTTACACTAAAATACAAAAACAAAAAAAAAAAATACAAAAACAAAGGTTGAAATGGACTTAAGCTCCACCCACAACTCTGCTGTTGGCCCAGTGAACAGAAGAAGTCCTCAGTGACGGAGATCAGTAACTCAATGTTTCACATTTATGTAAAAGAGATAAAGACACAGACAACAAACATCTTCACGTCGTACAGAATGTAACGGCTCTCTGAGGAACAAAAGTCACCTAAATAGTGAATGAAAAAGAATCAGAGTACCTTCTTAAGTCTCGCTCATGATTTCCATCCACACACAAAAAAGAAGACATTGTTGTTTCCCAAACAGCAATAAATAAAATAAAAGTCCACTGAGCTCTCCTTTAAAAACAGTCTGTTGAGAACTGAAGAGGACGAGGAGACAGATTCTGTGTCAAAAGGCTGCCGAAATGAATTCAGTCATAAAGAAATAAAACAAAAGATCCATATGTAGAGTAGACCACTGATCAAAGAACATGAGAATGTTCTGTAAAAACAAAAGGAGGTAATGTGTTCCAGCGTCCATCTGCACCCGACATGTCAGTCACGTTCAATCACTTTCAACAAACCCATCGATACGACGTCCACCACGCTCTCCAAAGACCGGATGCACCGGTAACGGATCCCTCACACCGTGGTACCGGTGCACCAGTACCGGATCCCTCACACTGTGGTACCGGTGCACCAGTAACGGATCCCTCACACCGTGGTACCGGTGCACCAGTACCGGATCCCTCACACCGTGGTACCGGTGCACCAGTAACGGATCCCTCACACCATGGTACCGGTGCACCGGTACCAGATCCCTCACACTGTGGTACCGGTGCACCAGTACCAGATCCCTCACACCGTGGTACCGGTGCACCAGTACCAGATCCCTCACACCGTGGTACCGGTGCATCCGTCCGCGCTACACAACAAACTGAGCAGAAGTCAGTTCAGTTAAACCATGACGAGTAAAGCTGAAGGAACAGAGAACTGTGCATTACAAATATTTACAGGAGCATTTAGTCACATTTTCAGTGTTTGAACTATTTTTCACTTACAAACTTAAGTAATGCCAATCAAAAGAGTACTAAGGATGTGGATTGTTCACTATATTTAGATCTGAATCAGGATTTTGTATTTAATCAGATTTAAGACATTCAAGCCGTTCACGCTGCGCAGAGGGTCCACAGTCTCCAGACCTCTATGCTGACCCTCTGTGTCCGAGCTTGAGACCCGTTACGCTCAGCATGAATAACCGGAGCAGGGTTAGCTTTCATCACAATGTGAATAAAACAGAAACAGGTGACGCTGCCTGACGCCAGGTTCCTTTCCTGCTTTACTCAGACTCGTGTTTAACCAACAGCGGCCTCTTCTTCACGCGGTGCGCCTCAGGTACCAGACCACGTGTTGAGAAGAGAACACCGGGACAGACTTCTGCTCACTTCACAACAATACAACTTTCATTTAAACCATCGGCTCCACAAAGCTTCCCTCCACTTGACCCTTCCATCACCCGGCTGACGACAACATAAAAAAGGTATTTTAAGTCCTGCGAGACATTCTGCGAGTGCAACGTTTCATATTAGACAGATTCATGATGAATGTTTTACGATGAATGGTGATCATTCAGGATGGAGCGTTATAAATAAAGTGACCGGCTCACTGATCCTGCGATCAGCAGCTCAACGAGGAGAAACCATCATCAAGTGACCAGAGTTACAAAAACACCAGGCCGGAAACAAAAAGCAACATCAGTTTACAAACGCACACAAAAAAATACAGAAAGTGTTCAACACGTACACATTCCTCTCCAGCAGGCGGTTAGCTGCTAGTGGTCATAGATTCTGATGCAGTCGCTAATAAAACACGACTGAGCCAGCGAAGCCAAACCGACGCTCACTGTCTAAGTTATTCACATTAAGGTGGAGCTAAGCTTCATTCCACATTGCTCCATAATGCTGGAGCGTGAACAGTAAAGACGTGTGGTTGTCCTGAATGCTTTTGTTATTAAAACGACTTCTCATCGACTTAAAACCCAAAAGATTCCGATTCAATTTCAAAACTCTAAAAGCAGAAAGATCCCAAAGTACCGTCGACGTCAGAATTCATGTGGTTAAAAAAGAAAGAAAGTTATTATTAAACACTCTTGTTTTCACAAACCCAATACCTTTTGGGCATCGCATCGAGTATTATTACTTAACTGAATCATGCTAAAAGATATTCATTGTCTATCTTGATACATAACTTTATTACCAGAATGCTAAAATATAAATGAACGGCAGTGAAAGATAATTTTTTTTGAAGCATTTCTGGAAGTAAAAAAAACAACAACACAGATTTAGCTTATTAGATATCATATGGAGGTCAGAACTGTTTGGTATTAATCGGAGTGCGTTTGTTTATATCCCGACCGTGACCGTGGAGGATTTATTCAACAGTCGGCAGCAGGTTGTAAAGTGGTGGTGAGTTCTGGCCTCTCTGGCTGCAGCGAACAGCTGCTGCGTATTAGTCACAGTAAAAACAATAGACGTACTACCATGAATAATCATATTAATACAAGTCCTGTCCGAGACCAGGAGGAGGAGTCCGGTTTCATTACAGTGAGATCTCCTGAGCAGGAGAGAAACACATCCTGGTCACAGAGGGGGAGTCCTGCTGAGAGAGGGAGGGGGGGGGGAGAAATTGGAAAGAGTGAATTTAGAACAGCGGTTACGTTCGCATGCCTCCAGATGAATGAACAGTATTTGGGGATTGTTGGCGTCGTACCTTGGAGACCTTTGAAGCTTTGTCCTTCTTGAAAGTAAAGTCTGAGTTTTTCACCACCAGCCCCGCTTTCCCCAACACGAGCGCGTTCAACGGGCCGTTCACCTGCACACACATCATTTTGCTCATTTTGTGTCGGATGGAAGAAAACAACAAACTTTCATTCAAACACAATCAGAGCTCAACACTAACTCTTAAACGTGGTTAACGGGGCGTCAGCTTTCGGTCGCCATCTTTCGTCACCGTATATTTTGGAGTAATTAAGATACCAAACATCAGCACAATAATGAAAGTGAGGATGTTGTACATGCTTTGCAGGATAATCTTTCCGTGCAGCTCAAAGACGCAGGAATACTTTGTCTCCCAAGACTTCACACATTTCCTTTTCTAGGTTTTTCATTCAGGTTCTTCTGCACATTCGTTGTTGTTGTTGTTCACAGGTTAGTCGAACTTTTCCCTGCACAATCTCAGAGCCAAGAAAGCAGATCATACAAAGCCAACTAAAGTGTGACGTCGCGTCGGAGAGAGAAAGCACAATAACACACGAGGAGCATCAGGTGTCGTGTACTTACTTGCAGGGTGACGTTCTCTTTTCCGGGCTTTCTTCCCGTTTTGGTGACGATGTCAGGGGAGACGTGTCGGACCCGCCTCTCTCCCGTCAGCTGCTCACCGCGAGCTCTGCGCTGTTAGCGGAGCATCAGGTGGGAAAAGTTATGAGCGGGTTCGTCGTGTTTAAGTTTAAGTGACGAGTCAAACACGTTCCCAGTGAAATAAATCACAGTGTCCCGTCTCTCAGGCAGCACAGCTGTGCTGCTATAAAGTACACAGTTGGTGGTTTGCAGGTCGGATCGGTTGCATGTTGTTTGTGGATGCGGCCGTGCGGATTGGCTCACAACAGGCCGGGCAGACGTGGAAGGCTTTGAGTGTGAACATATCAAAATTGGCATATTTCAATACGCTTGGTGGAATAAGTAGTCTGATCGTTTTGTGGCTGCGTCCCCTCGGATGATGGACAGATTCGTTCTATTTATTGGAAATCAAATGAATGTGGACGGTGTGCGTGCTGGTCAGCTTTGCGTCTGTTGTTGTCATTTACGTATAAAATAAACCGGTAAAAATCATCCGATATGCTGCAAATATGCTTTTTATGTCTATTTATAATTAAGCGCACTGCGGCAGATTTCGTGAATCGTGACGAAGTGAAGATTGTTTTTCTCTCGATTCGATTGGTTGAAGAGTCGGTAGAATCAGACGAACCTCACGGGATTTCTTTTTGTCAGAATGTTATTGAAACATCTTTCGAACTGCTGAAATACTCAACACGACGAGACGTTAAAATCCTGTCCAATTAGCTTTTTCACTACATTTTGATTACCGATCGCCATGATTTTTGGTTTAATTCACTGAAATGAACTCTCTATGAGAGTGGAAAACATTAAAAAAACATCATTATCACAGTTAACAAAACCAACCAGAACTGCTCTTCACAGTGTCAGACCAGCAGTCGGGACAATCTAGCAAGCAAATGTTTGCATCTGTGAGGCTCAAACCTCAACCTGAAACTGTAACTACTCGTCATTACGGGGCATGGGACTTCTGAATAAAGAGCTCAAGTATTCTGACTAATCGTTGGAGCACTAATTTAAATCGCAAACATGGTCCCAACAGTCAGCAAAACAAACTAAATATCATATTTTGTGGTCGCTTCCGTCCTCAAAGGCCTTACAGAACCAAATACTTGAGTGATTCATGATCACAACAAAAGTCTCTTGTACAACACTAACACAATGACTTCCATGTTCTTAAAGTCACCGCCAGTGAAGTGTGGAATACATCAGGGTCATTTCTACTGAATGTATTGTTCTACTGCGCCTTTGGGACTTTCCCCGGTTGTTTCGTACCTTGATGAGGCCGCCAAAGGAGCGGGAGCGCGGATGTTTCTTGCTGGGCGCTGGAGGCTCCTGCTGGTGCTCGTTAGTCGGCGTCCCCGAGGTCGTCTGCTTGACTAACTGCACGTTGGACGAAGAGAACGACGCTTACATTTGATGTTAAAAAGACGCTGAACACAAAAACTCTAACGCAAACTGACTTGGTGGAAGTTGAACAGCATTCATGTTTGTCTCAGATAAATAAAAGGCGAACCTGTCGGACGAGTTTCTTCTTCTTGGCGGAGTCGGGCATGTTGTGGTGGACGTGTCTGAAGAGGTCCTTCAGAGCCTCTTCTGTGTATTGCTGCGCCGGTGATTGGTACTGCTCCTCCTGAGAGCCGGGGCCCCGAACAGCCGTCCTCTTCAGGGGCAACGCGGTCCGCTGAGCGGGGGAGCTGCTCGCCGTCAGCAGCTCCAGATCGTCCTGAGAGAGGAGGCGGCAAGTTTTTTGCCATTTTTAACAGTGGTTTCTCAAATTGTCTCAACATGTTTTTCTGAATGGTGTTGAGTGAAGTGGGTATTTACGAGCAGCAGGGAAGAGTCCACTCTTCTACACTTGTAAGCAGAGACCAAATGAGCAAATACCAGAGGGCGCAATAGGTATATACGGTATATTCATCAAATGAAATGCCATTTAAAGAGGGGACGTGAAGACTAACCTTGGTGTGCAGAGCCTTGGTCCCAGTGAAGTGCACTCTGGCATAATCCCTCAGGTAGACCGGAGCCTGAACGACACACAGCAGACACGAGTCACTCATCCTCCGAGTTATATCCATTAAACACGTCACATGTTACGTTTCTGTGCTCGACTCTCAAGAGCATTACAGACTTTATCATCAGAAAACAATAAAACGCATTCATCTCTAATCGTTTGGTCTCGTGTATCGTCAGTGCTCACCCTGAAGAGTTTCTGCGAGTGTTTGATGAGGAAGGCCATGCTGCTGTTCAGTTTCTTCAGATTGTCCTTCAGGTCAGTGGCCGTCATCTGAGAGAAACAACGTCATCACTCAAAGACTATGATACTACATCTCTACGGCCGATATCTCCAAATATATACAAATCACAACATAATAATATAGATTGATAAATAGCACGACAGTTAGGAGGAAAAATATGTATTTTGTTTTTGGGATGAACGTCTTTAAAGTGTTATAAAGCATTTGTGTTGCAGTAGAGTATTTGTACTGTATATTTCCACCAAATTTAACCTTTTCATTCTACACAGAGAGGCTTCTAGGATAATGTGTAAGTAAACAGAAATGTCCTTTAAGGTGGATGTTAAATACAGTTTTACTGACGATCGTTATCGTTTTCATACGTTAAAGGACCCCGGTCCTTTATGTAGTAATAAAGTACAAATCTTACATGTCGGGGCCAGACGACATGCGGCGCAAACATGAGCGCCAGGTTGAAGGCGGACATCTTGTTCTTGTCCTGCTGCCGGGCCGTGTGGTAGAGCAGGTCCAGCAGCAGTTTGAGCAGCGAGCGGTTGGCCTGAGGCAGCAGCAGGAAGAGGAGCTGCAGGGCCTCTATTTGACGCTCCTTGTTGGGTACCGCGGTCTTGTTGCCGTGCTCGTCAAACAGAGTAATTTCTGGAGGCGGGACAAGGGTGGAGGAAGTGAAGTCATGAATAGATTTACTAAAATCACTGCAGGAAAAAAAAAAAGGGTTGCCTTGAGCAATTGTCCATGACAAACACTTTCGTACTTCAGAGGTCCTGCTTTTTAAAATACGCAACATGTTTTTGCTATAATGTCACGCTAACATTGCTGCTACTCTAAGCGTTTAACCCAAACATGACACTGCTTTGGTCCAGTATTCATACCAGCTATCTTGAGGTGTGCGTGGAAGTGTCTGTGTGTGAGCAGGGGCTCGGGCAGTTCTCCCAGGAAAGTCTTGAGCAGCGTGGCCACGTCGTTGGGGTGGAAGTCTCCGGACTTCAGGTCCACATCGACCCCGCTGTTGAGGAGGTCCTTCAGGGTCTGCTGACGGACACTGTTCCCCGGAACCCGAAACAGACCCTCAACGTGCAGATCTGAGTGCGAGGTGGGTGTCAGCCAGTAAAAACGTTATTCTAACTACGCGTGTGCTCACTCATTCAAGGCATTTGTGTTCTAGTTACCGACGTTCGATTATTCTTGAATAACTGACTCACTTTTGCTGAGGTACTCGATGAGCTGGTAGATCTGGGCAATGCAGCTCTCCGTCAGCGGGGTTCCAAACACAACACCTTTATCTGTGAGCGCATCAGGAGAGAGGAGTGTTAACATTAACTTCCTTTAAAAGCTCTTCCATGTCTGCAGTGTTTGCATTACAACAGGCCAGTCTCATCACAAACAAAACGGGTTTAAAGCCGACATTACCTCGAAAAAACTACTCTGATGACATAGTTTACACAAAATCAAACGGGCTACAGAAATAGCAGGTAGCCACACCTCCTGGTGCGCTTTCCTCAGCTTCACATCAAACAGAGCGGGATATTCACTAGGGCCGCTGCTGGTGGTAATTCCTCTGACCTTTGCGTTTGAGGAAGTTGAAAGAGCGAAAGAAGCCTCCATTTCCACCCGTCGGGGTCTTCGGCCCTTCCTCCCCAAGGAGCTGTGCAAACTCTGTCCCGGGAAGATCGATGAGGCGAGTGATGTTACTGAGCACCAGCTCCAGGAAAACATCGGGGCTCTCGTGGCGGAGTTTTTCCACAAAGAAGTCCGGGTTGAAGATGACCGGTGAGCGGCCAGCGCGGGAGCCCCCCGGTGATTCCTCGTGATTGATCACCATGCTGCACACTGTACCTCTGGGGGGGGGGGGCACAGGAAGACTGTTAACAGAGAGGACATCATACACCCAATCACAGTAATGGGGGAAGAAAACACAGAGTCCTAAATGTGTGTGCTTCAACAACTAGAAGATCTTAATATTTAGGGATCTTTCAAATTCCACATTAATTAAAATGTGTGTGCACAGAGTACATGTCAAAGAGCCCAAGCTGATACAACCCTGATGACATTCGGCTCTCAGACTTTAGAGAGCTGCTTCTACAGCCACAAAAGACAGAATAATGACACAACACCTCTGACAACTCCAGCAGAGCTTGAACACTGAGCTAAACAAAGGCAGGAATCAATGCAGATTATTAATATCACGTTCATGCCTGTAACCTACAACAGTTATGAGTGCGAGGAAACATAGAAGCAGTGGGTTGAGTCCACAGTACTGCATACTTAACTGAACGTTAACTCAGTTAAATGAACGTCAGCTGACGTCACACCAACACACGATCCCTCAGCTGAGCTAACCGTGCTAACGTTAGCTAAAGCACGCAGATAATTCCCCACGTACAAATGTAAATACTACTCCAACACTGCGTCAATGTAAGTAACACTGGAAACACGTATAAACGTAAGCTTTCGCTTACCTTCTTACCTTCTATTGTGTGTGTTGTCGTCCACCTCTTTACCCGCAGCCATGTTCCGTTTGAATCCGCCAGGCCCCGCCCATCTCCTTCACCATTGGTCCGTTTGTCGTACGTCGGCGTGGAACGTTGGGTGCGATCTTACATGTCCCGCGCTGTGATTGGTCGGTTTGAATTCGGCAGTTTTGTTCAGGAGGAAAACAAACACAGACGTCAGAATCAGAAGCAGCTTTATTGGCCATGTTTGCGGACGAATTTGACTCCGGTTTACACATTGCTCTCAACGTACATACATGGAATATACAAATACACAAGAAAAATATAAAAACAAGGACATTAAAGACAACAAAGTAGAACACATGTCACTACTATGTACAATATTAATATATATCGAAGAATATATATGAACATAAACAACAACGACAATGGACAATGGATTTAGGATATTAATGCAAATGGTGGTTATAGTGCAAATAGAGGTCGTAGTGCAGTATGACTGATTAATTGCTCATCAGAGTGACGGCAGAAGGAAGCTGTTCCTGTCTGGTGGTTTTGGCGTACAGAGCTCTGTAGCGCCCTCCAGAGGGGAGGAGTTGGAACAGCTTGTGTCCAGGGTGTGAAGGGTCTGCAGTGATCTTTCCTGCCCGTTTCCTGACTCTGGAGGTGTACAGGTCCAGGATGGAGGGCAGGCTGGAACCAATGATCCTCTCTGCAGACCTGACAGTCCGTTGTAGTCTGTTCCTGTCCTGTTTGGTGGCCGATCCAAACCACACAGTGATGGAGGAGCAGAGAACAGACTGGATGATGGTGGAGTAAAACAGAAATTATGATACATCAATAACACTCAATGGCACTATATGCAAAAGCACATTTCATCACAGTATACATCACATGTATACATTTCTTCTGTCATGCTCTCTCTCTCTCTTTTTTATTGGGTAAAAAGGAAGACGGACTAGGCCGAGTAGACAGAAAGTATCAGAGGTACGAAGCAGAGAAGCAGTAACTAAAGGCTACAGAGGTGCACAGCTACGAAACAAAAACAGGATTAGAATGTACAACTTAATTAAATTTTTAACATATGAAAGCTTGGGAATGGCTTTAGATAAACTTGCCTTATGTGTTTCAAATGTGCGATGTAGCTGAAAGGTTTATTATTGTTACATCCTAATTAAGTGATGAGACCTAATTGTTATTATGTCCAGTCTGGTTATGAAGAAACAGTTCTATATCTTTCCAAAACACATATGTGAAGGAGCGATGACAAAGCAAATTCACAAGTGTGTCTGTCTCAGCGCAACAAAAGGTGCATTTAACATCCATGTCAACGAATTTTGATCTAACGATGTTACACAGGTAAATGTTATGGAAGATGTTCATGTGAATTATGATGATTATGTCCGAAACATGGAATTTGAAGGGGACAAATACATGCTTTGCGCCAGTTTGCATGATTTAAATTGTGAAGCAATCCCACCAACTTTACCACTAATGATAATAATAAGAAATAAAAGCTTCACATAAAACAGCTGCTAAACATTTTAATGTGAATGAGATTCTCACCAGTCGTGGCTTCTCCCTGTGGCCAGAACAGGTAGTGCAGCTCTGAGGTCACCAGGGTTGTGATGAATTTACTGCCAACAGAGATAACTCTCAATGTACTCTATACTGTACATGGTTGTAGGTCAAGACCTTTGTGGTCTCTACAAGATGAATAATACTGCCTTTAGTGATCACCTGTCTTTTCCTCTATCGAGATGGTGACGAGATGACTCCCCGTCATTTCAGCTGCGTAACTGCAGCACAAACAACTGTTTAGAGGCCTCAATGTGTTAATGCACATTTTAACGTAAAGAGGAAGGAAGCCAAGCCGGCTTTTTAACAGCTTGATAACTGTTTAACATAACTGTACCAAGCCCAGAAGACACGAGCTGACTTCAAAGACAACACCCTCCTTTTAAAGTAGAAATGTTTGTGGTGACTTACTGACATTAAGTGTTCCTGATCTACCTGCTGATTTAACAGAGAGGAGCAGCTATGAGTTCAACAGCAGCAGCCGCTGGATTTGTTGTCTTCCTTCTCTCTGTACAAGGTACTGTACATCTACATTTATATTGTGAGGCCGTTAGTGCTCCTCAGGACAACAGAGGAAGCTGTGTTTTCAGTTCATAAACACATCTGATGTTATAAAATGTGGTGCAACATTGACTTTTCTTTCTTTAGATTGAAGTGTTTACAGGACGACCAACACAGAGCTGTTTTTAACACCAGCAGCATCTCTGTACACTTGTACCTTAACATCATAAACTGTATAAACTGAAGAATCGTGCTCCATTAAAGACAGTAAAGTTGTGTTTATGTGGATGAAAGTAATGACTGTATGAACATTAACAAAGAAAAAATGCTCCGAATAATATTTTTTAATTAAATTCATAATTTTGTGGAACTTTCTTCAATCGTTCAGTCAGCGTTTCTATTCATTAAACATAGAAGCTCTGAGAGTCGTATCTTAAAGGTGCAGTGTTTAGGATTTGGCGACATGTAGCAGTGAAGTTGCAGATTCTAGTTGCTTTTATCTCTTTGTGATCATTTCGCCTCTTTGTAGTCTTTTTGTATCTCTTTGTAGTCTTTTTGTATCTCTTTCTAGTCATTCTGAGTCTCTTCCTGGTCGGTTTGTGTCTCTTTCATAAACATTTTGTAGCCAATGAGGAGCCAAGCAGGTGATCTTCCAACCAATCACTGTTAGACTCGAGTGCAACAAAGACAAAGACTTGAACCTTCAATAGTTTCCAACATGCAAACACCAACCAAGCAGAGAGCACTGCTGCCTGGAGCTGAACTCTCTCTCTCTCTTTTTTCTGTATTTATTTTTGCAGATTACGGGAGTGTTACAGATAATTGATTCACTGACAGATGCTGCAAATTACATTGATTTTTTTTGCATTTAGCAGAGCAAATTTAAATGTTGGAAACTTGATTATATTGTCATTGTGATGAACTTGAAGTGGGTGTTTTTGTCGCCTCTTGAAAGCCATCACCGGTCGTTATCTCACACTGTTTGCCAACGCCTCAGTGTTCTGCATTTCTCCACAGTTTCCATTCACACTCTGCAGCAGCTGACCGCAGACAGAAAAGCTACCGAGCTCCCGAGCAAAGCCGACTCCTTATGAAGCGCACCCTAATATTTAATGTACAGCTTCTTTTATCTTGTTCACTGTTTGAGTTGACGGGTTCAATACACTGTTCTCCCATCACTGAGGCCTGTGTGATGCTCTGCCTCAGTGCAGTTAGAGATCAACTGCAGAGATCATGTTTACATCATTGACTGTTTCTTTAAGTTATATAAGTTCAAAACTCAATGATTTGCATGTTTCTCCATACCTCCGTTCACTTTGGCATGAAACAGAAAAAATGAAAACTTTATTTACAGTAAAACAAACATTCTGCAGGATAAGCACTTCACACAACTTTGTCTCTCACTGACTTTAAGTGGGATGTTTTGAGAAACGTAGCTTCACTGAAGCACCTTCACTACTAATGAGAGTGTGTCCTCTGATGTTGCTCTGAGTCTGACTGTGGTTCCTGATGTGCTCTGTGTTTCAGTGATACAGAGTCAGGATGGCTGGGGAGTGACTTACACTCCTACTGAGGTCTGTGGTGTAAAAGGATCAACAGTGACAATACAATGCAGCTACACATACCCATCTAGAATACAGCACCGTGATATCAGCAACACATTCTGGTTTAAAGAGAAAGATGGTGAACCTGTGGATCTGAGAACAGACTCTGAGTATTCAGGTCGTGTGCAGTACTATTGTTATGAGAAGAAGTGCACTCTGAGAATCAGAGACCTGAGAGAGAGCGACTCAGCTGAGTACAAGTTCAAGTTCACAACAAACAAACGAGATGAGAAATATACTGGTTCACCTGGAGTCACTCTGTCATTCACAGGTAACATTTTAATTCACATGTTAATCATCTACAGATGTTCAACATCTAGAAAACTAGAATATAAATGTCTTGTGTGAATGTTCAGAGTTCATTAAAATAACATTTATGTTACTTCTTCACAGATCCAGGTCTCCAGGTGCTGAAGGGACACAGCACAGATAGTTTAAATCCTACCTGGATGGAGCTGAAGTGTCACAGCAGGTGTGCTCTGCCTGATTATACTTCCTACTACTGGTACGAGAATGGACAATTCCTCTGGGATACACCATCTTATTATTCAACCTACTTTGGTTCTGCAAACAGCTACTCCTGTGCTGTAAGCGGATATGAGAATCACCGTTCTCCTTCAGTGTGTAAGTTTACTCCACTGTGTCAGCCTGTGGAGGTTCAACAACATCTCATATGGCGGCACCAGACTGGCACTGTATGTGACTTTAGAGGAACCAAAAGTATGAAGCACAACATTCCTCAGGAGGTAGAGCTGTGGTCCACTAACCAGAGGGTCGGTGGTTCAATCCCTGGCCCCTCAGTCTACATGTAGAAGTGTCACACACACACTGACACAAGAATACAATTATAATCACAGCTGTAAACACACTGAAGTCTTCTAAGTCTTAAAGTAGACGCAGCTGTTTATTTATGAATTAATGGTGTTATTAAAAGAAACAAAAAGAAAAACTAGAACTAGTAGAAGAAACTGGATAAAATAATATGATTTTCATACAGTCTGTTTAGCTGACTCAGCTGAATTATGTACAGAACATAACTAGAAGTGATCAGCCAGCTGGGTGAAGAAACAATCAATAACTCCCTACAACAGCTAGAAGTGAGAGGACAGACTCAGCTAACGACACAAGCAGCATCTAAAGAGAAGAATGTGTGGAGTTGTTGAACATTACAAATGATTAAAGGCTTCTTATTGTCAGTTTACACCAGCAGGAGTCTCACCTGAGACAGCTCCAGGATCAGCACTCTGGACAGCTGCTGAGATACATAATAGTGATAGTCTGAAACAAACAAACTGAAATATTAATTAAAATAATAAATATTCTATGATAACGTATTATAATCTTTAAGTATGTTTATTCTTTCTTCCTCCAGATGGTCCAAAGCTTCCCTCTGTGTCAGTGAGTCCCTCTGCTGAGATAGTGGAGGGCAGTTCAGTGACTCTGACCTGTAGCAGTGATGCTAACCCAGCAGCTAACTACACCTGGTACAAGGAGGATGAAGACTCACCAAAAGCATCAGGACAGATCTTCATCATCACTGACTTCAGAGCTGAACACAGTGGGAACTATTCCTGTGAAGCCCAGAACAGAAGAGGACGTAGTAACTCCACCTTACATCTGACTGTTGTAGCCGGTGAGTTTCTCCATGACACTAATCGTCTGATTAACAAACAGCATCGTCTAATAAGTTTATTCATGAATCAAACCGTTCTGATAAGGTAAAGTGTTGTTTATCTAATAACTGTCTATCTCCAGTTCTAGATAAAACAACAATGATCATACGTAACACCAGGTTGACTCTGGTGGTTGTGATTCCGATTTCTCTGCTTCTCTTCTGTCTGTGGATGAGGTAAAACTACAAGAACTAATCCTCACTGATCTTTCACTTTGAATACTTCCTTTAATAGTTTTGGAGTTGTCATTAAATGTTTAATTTATTCATTTGTGGTCTTTGTTTGATGTTGGATTCAATCCAGAAAGAAGAAAGCTCTGAGCTCCACCACTGAACCACATGAACCCATAGAGACTGTGGAGGTGAGAGAGAGATTTGACCTCAGTGACAGAACTCACCAAAGGGTCATTGTTTGTTCTTATTATGAGGTCATCAAGATAATTAACACCTAACTTTATTAGTAATCTTTATTTTTATGAACCACCTTTGTGTATTTACTCTCAAACATTTTACAATAATACTTAATAATACTTTTCAACAATATCAGTAAGAGATATTCCAAAGGAAATAATGGCAGATTTGTAGAATAATCGTAAAATATCAGAGAGAAGGAGACAGAAAAGACAACAATACGTATTTGAGCAACGTATCCTCAAACAACGGTTTGTATGAAATCCTTCGATAAGTTTCTTCTCATTTGTCGTGCGTTTTTCTACAAAAACCAGCCACACGAGTCAATTTCAGCTCGTTACATGCACACAGTCTGTTCAAAACAAACTTCTGTCTTCACAGAAGATAACTCAGTTAGGTTTACTCAACACAATTACTTAATTAGGTTTCGGAACAGATCTTTGTTGAAGTTAAAATAACTAATTATTGGCCTTTGTGAGGCCTTTGACTCTCATCTTGTCGTCTCTCTCCATCAGTTGGACTCTGATCCTGAGTATAAGAACAACTCAAACACTGCAGCACAGACAGAAGACTCAGAGGAGCAGGAAGACCGGGTGTGAAGGTCAGACAGGTTTCATTCTGCTGCATCGGGAAAATAAAAACAACTCAGAATAACTTCCTACTTCCATTTCTGAGAAATAACTTCATGTGGTTTTCTTCAGATGCAGTTAAACCAGAGGGAGACTCAGCTGGATGGAGACAGAGAGAAGTACACTGAAGTGGACGTATTTACCTTCAATATACAAAGTTATCGCTCTTTAAAGTGTATTTAAATGTTCTTTTATTATGTTTTTTTTGCACTTTAAGTTTTATGTAAAGTGCTTTAAATGACCTTGTTGCTGAAATGAGCTTTATAAACTTAGATCAATTTGACTTGACATATTGGAAGCAGCGGCATGCAGCAGAATGTTCATAATGCATGCTTTATGTCTACCTGTGCAGGTACGTTACATACAGTATGTACATGAGTTCATTTTAATGAAATAAATTGCTTTTAAGAAATACTGATCACCATCTTATCGAGTCCTCCTTCATTGGATTCAAAGGTCAAAGCGCAGAAATGAAATGTATTTGATGCAGTAAATGGTCTGAGAACAAAGACACTTAACACAAGATGTACTTCACCACTACAATAAATAAACTAAACTAGAAGTAGAAGAATAGAAACCAATGACCTGGTTAAAACACATTGGACAGAATGTCTGCAGGTAATAGTAACAGGTTGTTCAGTCAGAAGGAGCCAGACGCTCGGAGAGCGACATTACAGGTCGGTTAAACCCGACCTGTAATGTCTCTGGACCGGATAGTGCACGAAACCAAGGAAGTCCACTTGAGTACTTTTTCTTCAGTGTTATGTGTGAACGTGTTTTACTTACTTGGAGACTAAAAGCTGAATCGATGAAGGGGTCTTGGTAGAACCCCCTTTGTGGGTCCTAGATACAAATCATTGGCATATGAAAGGTTTCTCGGTAGAACACCCTGGAAGGGTTCTAGATGAAACCCTTAGAATCCATACAGCTCCCTCCATCAGGAGGGAGCTTGGAGTAGAGCCGCTACTCCTTCGCGTCGAAAGGAGTCAGCAGAGGTGGTTCGGGCATCTAATTAGGATGCCTCCTGGACGCCTCCCACTGGAGGTTTTCCAGGCACGTCCAACTGGGAAGAGACCCCGGGGAAGACCCAGAACACGCTGGAGAGATTACATCTCCCAGCTGGCCTGGGAACGCCTCGGGATCCCCCAGAATGAGCTGGAACATGTTGCCGGTGAGAGGGAGGTCTGGGTCGGCCTGCTTGACCTGCTGCCACCGCGACCCGACCCCGGATAAGCGGTGGAAAATGGATGGATGGATGGAGAATCCATACAGGTTGAAGGTAGAACCTTTTGAGTGGGTCCTCGATGAAACCCTTGGAATATGAAAAGGAGCACCCTTAGAAAATAAAAAGGGTAGAACCTTAATAAAAGGAACCACAAATGGTTCTCCTATGACGACAAGCCGAAGAACCCCATACGGTTCTAGTTAGCACCTTTAATTCTACGAGTGTGGTTAGGGTGAAGTCACCAGGGAATGAATCTAAGGCTGTGTGTGTGTGTGTGTGTGTGTGTGTGTGTGTGTGTAACCTTAGTTCATTAAGTTCTATAAATACATTTTCCTCACTCACAGGTGGCACCTAAGATAAACCCTTAAAGGTGGAGGAATCTGCCTCTGCTGCCTTCTCAAGGTGTGAGGCGTCCGTGGGGAGAGAATCAGGCTCCATATGCGGGTCTAATCCGGTCCAGGTGGTCCTGTCTGCTCCTATTAGAGGACCAGAGGAGCGACGCTTAATCAGAGAGGAAAGCTGAGCAAGTGTGGTGAAATTCCGCTGAGATTACTGGAAAAATCACACTCTGGCTCTGACTGCCTGACTCCAAAACTGTATCTGAGGTAAGGATGTATTTTTATGCACGCAAGTCCACTTAAGTCCGGTCTGGCTGGGTCAGTGGAGTAGACAGGAGGATCAAAGAGCTGATGAGACGGTCAATGCCACCTGATCCCTATTAACTCTCCAACATGTGCTGTTTTTGTCTGCAGGATAAAGAGCGGAAGTTGTGGCACAAGTGCACTGCAGACGCAGGCGAGTGCCGCTCAAGTGTTTGCATATATTTATCACAAATAAACGGTAGTTCCCTAAATGGCAGCGGCTGAAACTTTGCTGCAAATACCTCACAGATGAAACGATACAGTGTCCAGTTCTTATCAACTTTAATCAAGGCTTCTGAGCATATTCCATTAATAAATATAAAAATAATAACTACAAACAAAGTACTTGCAATGTTGGGGTGTAAAGTGGAAAACAACGTACAATTTATATTTAGATCTCCATCAGCCTGTCGGACTCCTGGCATCAAACCACACCTGGGTCTGATAATATTTGTGGCGTTTGTTTTAGCCTCCTGGGAGCCTCAGACGGGTGGGGTTACCCACATCGGTACAAATTATGAAAGAATTTAGAAAACACAGAAACCCCGACTAGATTTCCTGTGGTTTCCTCACCGTAAAATCCTAATCACATAGAGCCTCGCCTTTTAATAACAACGGTTATACAGAGGTTTTTAAAAAAAATAGGGAGAAGAGGAAGCAAAAAGTACAAACAGCAGCTAATTCAAGCGATCAGCGGTGTACGTGTAAAGCATTTTATAAATAGCATCCATGATTGGCTGATGACAGAAGGCTCAAATGAATCAGTTAACCTCTTCTTTGTACTGGACTCATCTGAACCCGCAGACCAGAACAGCCACAGTATTAAACAGAAGATGGTTCAGAGCATTGTTGAAGGTTTACTCCAGAAATTACATATTTCAAGAGGGGACAAGGGGACTTGTGAGAGACAGATACAAGAAAGAATAGTACATACCGAAGCAGCAGAGGTCGAGATATCCTGACTTTTTAGTATGCGTCAGGCCCAAAACTCTCTGGCTACTACACTTCCCAAAATGCAACTCTGGTTAGAACCTCCCTGCCTGGTAAATGCCCACTGCTTTCAGACCCTACCCTCTGCAGGTGAGTGGACTGGGCAGTTCTCCTTGATACAAGTAAACTGATATTCATGTGTAAAATCCAGCCTGGTCTCATCGAACGGCGTATGAATGACACAACACGCAATAACAACGACCTTTCTTTCAAACACGTGTGTGTGAATATGTCGCACACAGCAGGCGACATAGTGTGAGAAGTGAAAAAAGACATAGAAATTGAACAGGAGGAGAAGGGACAATCCCATTCAAATCAACGTAGCAGGATGGTCAGAGCGGCGGACATTTTGGTGCGTACTGTTACCATTTCAACCGTTGCAGCGGGCTAACTCCCGTATAAGCTAAGCAGACTTGTTGCAAGTCGCTCACTGAGGTGACGTTTTACAGTAACGGCTAAAACAAGCAGTGGAGCAGTAACGTTACGAGTAAATGAGTCAAATTTCACAGCGTAGGCAAGCACATTGCCATCTACAGTTGAGTGACAACTTTTTTCGGCTTATTTTCTGTAACCAGTGGAGAACGGTGGGATTAACAAGCTAGCTAGCTACCTAACTAGCGGGCAGCTAACTCCGACATGCTTTAATGCTATACTGGTTACAGATTTGAGCCGTACAGCGGGCTGGTGGCCAGCGGCCCCTCCACCTCACTCCCCACCGCTCCAGAGAAGACAAGTTAACAAGTTAACAAGCTAACAAGCTAACTAGCCAACGATAAGTCTCCGGAGCTGCGTCCGCCGCTCCAAGCTGCGACGACACTTTACGGCCCCATTGACGTGTGTCGTCACCAGAACTAACAACAATCGCCATTTTCTTTCGTTCTATATTTTAAATGACCACGGAAAACAATTAAATGTCTGTTTTATTGTATTTCTATGGAGAAAGACTTTTTGGGTGACTGGTGGGTGGGTCAAACAAACAGAACTTTCAACCAGGAGACCAGCGTTCGTCTTCCAATATGACTTGTTTTCCAAACTTCTGCTACATTATTTACATTTTACTTAGTTTACGTACGTACTTTAAGCCCTACTATGATGTTTCCCCTAAACCTAACTAAGTGGTTTTGTTGCCTGTAAAATGTGTCATCATGACACACGGAATGTCCTTAAAACGTGCTACTATTTGTCCGCCCTCAGGTTAGTGAACTCAGTGGAGTTCTCCACCCACACTTTGAACATGCACCTTGTGAGTCACAAACCTGCATTTCTGTTGTGTTGTCCTCAGAGGTAATAATCCAAAAACCCATCTGGCACACTGAAACAAGCCAAATCTACCAAGATAAGGAAAAAACAACGATCGGACCCAGGTTGGTCACTGCTCACTTGAAGTCACAGCTCTGCTCTCCCATCAGACAGTTGATCTTCCTCCACCAGGTCTCCGAGAGGCTCTTGATCTTATCGGGCGTCTTCTTCCTCAGAGTCAGCCTCTGCTGCTGGACGCTGCAGCTGTCCGTCTGCTGGATGCTGGCCAAGATGGCTGAATCAAAAGCGTCCTTCAGGTTCTTCTGGGTCAGCGCTGAGCACTCGGCAAAGCCCACCACCCCGAGCTCCTGGGCGAGCTGCCGGCCCTCCTCGGTGCCCACCGGCCGCTGCTGGTTCTGCGCCAGGTGAATCAGCACCTGGACGTCCTCCCTCAGGTCCAGCTGGGTGCCAACGAGGACCAGGGGCGCGCCGGGACAGTGCCGACGGATCTCAGGAACCCACCGGTGGATCAGGTTGCGGAAAGAGCAGGGGCGGACGACGCTGTAGCAGAGGAGGAAGACGTCGGCGTTCTTGTAGCACAGAGGCCGGAGGCGCTCTAGCTCCTCCTTCACAAGGAGAAGCCGGACACAGAGAGGCCAGGTTAGAATAAACTGGGCTACTTACAGGACGAGGCTGGTGTTATTTTAAATCTTTCTTACATGACAAGACCAAAACCAACAATGTGTCTACCTACTAACCTCCCTAATTTGTCTGTTTAGTTTCATTTTTTTTTTTAAATCAATAATTTCTTAAAATAGCTGCATTTATCAAACGAACAGGAGGAAATAGTGCATTTGTTGGGGACTATTTTCAGCTGCGGATTAATCTGCATTTGGCGCTCTAGTGGTTATTTGTGACGGTGTGTGTGTGATTAGTCAAAATAAACTCCAGTTTTTGTGTCCATTATGATGAAGGGACATGTCACCCAGTGCAACAGTGAGGCTCATTGATGTGTTTTTAATGGAGGTCAACGGCACAGAAGAAGAAGAATTTATCAGGCTTTGATACACACACACACACACACACACACACACACACACACACACACACACACA